AATAAATGGTGCTGGAGAACAGGATAACCACACGTAAAAGACTGAAACTAGACCCACACCTTTCTCCACTCCCCAAAACTGACTGAAGATGGATAAAAGATCTAAACCTAAGGCATGAAACAATAAAAATCCTACAAGAAACTGTGGGAAAACACTTGAAGATATCAGCTTGGGGAAAGATTTTATGAAGAAGACTTCTGTGGCAATTGCAACAACAACAACAAAATAAACAAATGAGATTTCATTAAACTGAATATTTCTATACAGCTAAGGAAATAACAACCAAAGCAAACAAACAACGTTCAGAATGGGGAAAGATATTTGCATATTATGAATCAGACAAAAGCTTGGTAACTAGGATCTATAGAGAACTCAAATTAATCAACAAAAAGACCCAGCAATCCCATGTATCACTGGGCAAGAGAGATGAATAGAACCTTCTCTACAGAAGACAGATGAATGGCTAACAAACATGAAAAAATGCTCATCATCCCTAATCATCAGAGAAATGCAGATCAGAACAACCCTGAGATATCAGCTACCCGCAGTGAGAATGGCCCACATCACAAAGTCTCAAAGCTGCAGATGCTGACGTGGATGTGGAGAGAAGGGAAAACTTTTACACTGCTGGTGGGACTGCAAACGAATACAACCTTCTTGGAAGGAAGTATGGAGAATCCTCAAAGAACTCAAATTAGACCTCCCATTTGATCCTGCAATCCCATTACTGGGCATCTACCCAGAAGAAAACAATCCTTTTATCATAAGGACATTTCCACTAAACTATTTATTGCAGCTCAATTCACAATTGCCAAAATGTGGAAACGGCCTAAATGCCCACCAACCCAGGAATGGATTAACAAGCTGTGATACACACACACACACATAAACACACACACACCATGGAATACTATTTAGCCACTAAAAAAGATAGAGACTTTACATCTCAAACCTGTGAGCTCAGGCAATCCACCCACCTCAGCCTCCCAGAGTGCTGGGATTACAGGTGTGAGCCACCTCACCTGGCCGAGACTTTACAACTTTTGTATTAACCTGGATGGAGGTGGCACACACTCTTCTTAGTAAAGCATCACAAGAATGGAGAAGCAAGAATTCAATGTACTCTATTCTAATATGAAGGTAGTAGATGAGCTAATACAAGGGATGGGGTAGAAAAATGAGCAAGTGGAGAGAGGGGAGGCGGGAGGCGGGTGGGGGTCACGGTATACGGCACATCTCTTGAGGGCGGGACACAAAGTAATTTGTTTATCTAACAAATGCAATCAGTGTACCTAATTCTTTGTACCCTCAATGAATTCCAAACAATAAAAAATAAAAAAAGAAAATACTTTAACTCTGGGCTGACATTCTTGTTCTCACCTACTGCCAACATTTGCTTCCCAAATCAGGCACAAAGAAGCTCCTATTCCCTTTTCCTGCTGCTCCTGACTGACACGCTCCCCACCGCCCCTCTTTTCCAAGGAGCCTGAGGTTTGCTGGAGATCAGCCTGGCACACACCCAGGTCCTGCTTTCCTGTTAATTAGTCTTTTAGTGCCACCTCCCGTCTTTCCTTGGGAAAGTGGGGTGTGCTGGGGGCTCTCCTCCCACCTTTGTCCCCAGGATCTCCAGGCAGGAGGCAAGGACAGCTGCAGTCAGGGACACTAGGCAGGTTACACAGAAGAGTAAGTCCACCCTCACCCATGGCCCAGTGGCTCAGGCTCTCACAGTACCACCACCCTGTCCTCACTCTAGGGAGGGGAATGTCCCCAGGGAAGCCTAGGGGCTAAGAAATGACCAACACACACTTCCCTGGTCTGCCTGCCCCTCTCCAGTCCTGCAGGCTCTGTGACCTTGCCACACTGACTTATGTGCACGTGGGGGCAAGAGGTGAAGAGTGGCAGCAGAAGGTGCCCCGTGCTCCCTGTACCTCACTCCACAGTCCTGACAAGGATAGGGGTTGGCGCAAGTGGCCACCTCCAACCTGGCCCACGCCCAGAAAGCAGTTGAGTGGGCCCATGGGACAGTTTAAGGCTGGTCACTTGGAATACACTGAACCCAGGCTGCCACCCAAGGACTACCTTCAGGTCACCAGGCTGAGCTGTGCATGTGTATAAACTTGGGGAAGGCAAACTCACAAGGCCAAATGACACTTCTTGGCCTACTGACAGTGGCATCAATGGTGATCAAGGAGTGTGTGGAGTGGGGTCTCTGGCCCAGGGTCTCCCTGCGTATCATCTTGGCATCTGGCTCTGTTTCTCTTCCTGGCCTGGGGAAGGCTTGTAACCTGGGCTGTGGGAATGTCAACGGAAGGGAGTGGCCCCTCAGCTCGGAGTTGTGGGGCAAGGTACTGCTCCCACACCCGGCCAGCCCTCTTCCTCTCTCACACCCTCAACCCAGGCCCATGGCCACTGTGTGTTCAGGGGGTATGCAGCAGGCAGAGAAAGCTGCCTTCTCACAGCGGCTGTGAGGAACAGCTGGTGGGGGCTCTGGGTAGAGGACCCTCTTTCTGAGCAGACTCTGGCCTCTGCACCCAAGCAGCTGAACCCCACTTCTGGGGAAGAGAGGACTATTCTCCTTTGCAGAGCACAAGGATTTGGCTGGGGGAAACAGGAGTGGAGAGAGGACGCAGTGGGGTGGAGGGCATCGAGTGCATGCGGATTGGGAACAGACGACCCATGTGGTGGTGTGAGGGCAACTAACTGTGAAAGAAGAGCATGTGTGATGAAGAAGTTCAAGTTGCAGGAGTTGACTCCTCTCCTCTGACCCTCCCATTGAGTCTTCAGCAAAGCCTAGAACACCCCCCCCCCCAGTTTGGGAATGGATTCTTTAAGGGAATGTGAGAGGCAGTACAGGATGGGGACAGAGACTGGTGGCCAAAGGATAGCTGGCATCTGCTGGTCAGGATTGCCCTGGGCATGGGTCTTGCCTGGAGGGGAAATCATAGCCCCACTGGCATCCCCTGAAGCAGGCAACCTTCTGCTCCTCTCAGTAAGGTAGCGCTGGGCCAAGAGCAAGGTCCCGAGAGAAAAGAAAACAGGGTGGCCTCCCTGCAGGGCTGTCCCTAGGCTGCTGCTGGTCTGTACCGCTGAGCCAGAATGAGCCCAATGCTCGGAGGAGACCACATCAGTAAGGACCTGCTCCAGACATTCAGAGGGATGGTGACCTGGAAGCTTTAACATCCAGTAGCTCAGTGCTCGGGACTGAACCACGTACATGTGGTCTCCCTGAGGCAAAGCATTCTCTCACCATCCCATTTCCTATAGTGCCAACTTCAGCCATGAGCACTGACAGGAGCCACACCTGCTACACCCTCGGTCACTAGCGCATCTGGCAAGGAGCGGAGCAGCTGCTTAACAGATAGCTACTGCATGAATAAATGAGTACATGAGTAAATGGAGGAAGGAATGAGTGAATGAATGAACAAACAGGTCTGGGTCTGCTGCCATTCATGATCTGGGCCTGGGTTTCCTACTTGGTGTCCTCTTGCTGCCCTCTCCCTCAGAGTGTCCAGGGCTAATGCTGAGGGTCTGGAGCCTGCCCCTGGTGCCTGCCTGGTTCTCCCCACCACAGGGCAGCTCCCGGGCCTCTTTGTCCAAGCAACCCAGAGGGGCTACACAAAAAGAGCCTGGGGGGTCCTGCACTGTCACTCCCTTTCCTCCCCCACTTCAGGTTTCTCAGACAGACAGACTAACTGATGAGGTAGGTGCCGTCCCAGCTGTCTCACGGAGATGTGAGCAGGGACGAAGAGGTGGGCTTGGCAGTCCGGAAGTTGGGGCTCAGGTCTGCCAGAGCAAGCTGAGAATGAAGTGGGCAAGTCACTTCACTGCTCTGAGCTTCACTGTCCACATATCTCAAATGGGGAAGGCAGGAAGGGCTCTGCATGGGAATGCTGAGGACTCGGCAAATCCGTGCACACCAAGTGTCAAGACAGTGCCTGGCACACAGGCCACGCTCAAGCAGGGCCACTGACCACTGGACAGCCCCAGTGCCCTGGGGAGGGGGTCGTCAGGCAGCATCTCCCTCCTGTTTATGATTATGCAGACCAAGGAGATCGTGTGTGTGTGAGAGCGTGGGAGTACATATGCCTACATGCGTGAGTGTGTGAGTGCACGTGTATGAGCATACACACAGCACACGCAAGAGTGCACATGTTTAAGTGTGAACGTTTGTATGCAATGCTGCGTGTGTGCAACTGGGAGTGTGCACATGTCAGTGTAATTGTGTTTGTGTTGTGCACACAGGCCCATGGATGCCAGAGGAAGGGCTGCCCAGAAGGACAGTGGGAACCTGCCTTTCCTGCACAATCTGAGCTACTAGATTTCTTCCCAGCTCCACTCAGACCTGAGTCACTATGATGCCCTTCCCCTATGGCTGCACCATGACTGTGGGAGCACCCCACTCATGGCATCTTGTCTGGCCCCTGGCACAGGACAGCACCAGTCCACAGAATACGTGTGATGGAAATTTCTTGAACAGAGGCCCAAGGCACGTAGCAGACCTGCTCACCCAGGGAGCCGAGCCCTAGGCCTAGGAAGCCACAGTGCCCTGTCACCAGTGCCTAGTAGGATGGTGGTCAGTAAATGCCCAAGGCCTGGGCCAAGCAGGTGCAACACTCTTGGACCCCACCAGGCGGAGCCACATGCCCGTCTCAAGACCAGGCCAAGCTCAGGCTTCTGGCTCCAAGAACCCACACTTCAGACCAAGTCTGTCCCCAGGTCTCCTATAGCTAGGCTGGAGGAAGAGCACCCCTGGGCTGGTCCTAGGCCAGATGAGGGGGGCTGCTGCTCAGAGAAGGGGGTTGGCCCCCCACACCCATCCTGCTCTTCCACCCTCCCTCCAAGTGGGCCCTGCCCCACGGAGCAGAGGGAAGAGCTGCCCAGCAGCCTCACCAGGCCACAGGGGTTGGGGGTGGGGGGTTGTCCCTGCCCATAGCATGTCTTCAGCGCCCTAGGGCCAGGCACCTCCCCTGGGAGGACGGCCACACTGAGGCCACACTCACCTTTCCAGCCCTGAAGACATCTCTTCACTAAACTCTGAGCTCTCACTACTGCCTGGAAAAGGAACACAGGTCAATGAGCACGGCACCCTCCTGGCAGGGAGATCTGTTCTCTCAGCTCACAGGGCCTAGGCCCTGGGCTCACAGCAGTGCTGAGGCAGCACTTCCTGACTCTGGCGACCCTTCCATGTGAAGCCTATGCTGCTGCTGCTATTTCCAACTCTGCTCTCCAAGAGTCAAAAGAACCACCCTGTCACACTATTCATTGAAATCAGTGTGAACAGTGGTCCTCGCTGCAGAGTGAGGAGGACCATGGAGGGTATGTGCACACACAGCCTCTTACTCAGGGCTTCCAGCCCCAGACAGAAAGACATTTGAGTTTCCTGGCTTGAGGTGCTGAGAACCAAGCAACCTTGCAATCTCTCGCCTGGGCAATGAAATGTTTTCTTTCTCAGGCGTAGCAAGGCCTGGGCTCAGGCACAGCTCAGAAAGTTTCCTGGATGACAAACAGCTGTTCTGCTGCCCAGCTGCACCGGCATCTCCCCCAGGGCATTCCTCAGAACCCTGATCCCATCAGACACTCCAAGGAAAAGGGTTCCATTACCAGAGAATGTGGGAACTGGCAGACTCTGAGGCCTTCTTGGAGGATTCATATTGCCCCTCAGCGCAGCAAAGCCTCTGGGTAGAAACCTGCCCACCTTTGCTTAACCTAGCCTTCTCTGTCTTATGGAACCAGCACGCCTCTTCCAAAGCACACCTGTGAATCCTGGATGCATCTGCCTAAGCTGTTGTGTAACCCTGACTGGGTCCAAATAGGATGACCTTTTCTAAGGACAGAAGCAGACCCAGAACTTGCTTGTCACAGACTTCTAGGGGATGGAAGACAGCTGCCCCCTGGACTGCTACTGCCTACTGGCCTCACTTCATACGGCTGTGGGATACAATTCCCACCTGTTCTCCTGCTCCCTGACTCCCTGTCCCACCTCCCGGGCCCTCTACCCTACAGACCTCACCAAACTCCCAGCTCAGCAACTGTCCTACCACCATCCCTGGAGAACTTCTCTTTAAGAACACATAGACACACAGACTGCAGGGACACAGGCACACTGAAAGGCACAGCCACCAGAAAGTGACACTGGTTTGATGCAGGAATGACAGGGTGGTGCCCACCTGTCCTCAGCTAACCTGGGCACTGCGAGGGTATGACCTGTGAGCATAGCACAATGCTAGCCTTAGCCCTAACATCAATTTCTCCCCATCCCAGTCTCAGCAGCACAATTTCTGTCCCTTCCACTGATATAAGCACCATGTCTGGTGACATAATTTCATCCCTGAGAATAAATTTTTCATACTCCCTACTTCTCCCTTCTCAGTGTGAAGACAAGTACACAAATGAGAACATGGTGGCCCACCCAGTTGCCATCCCCAGGCAGCATCCCCTTGCCTTGCCCTGCAGGGCCCTGGGGACAGAAGCCCGACTGTGGCAGCAGTTTTGGGAGCTGCCTACCAATGGCAGCTGGTCTCAGGCATGTGTCTGGCTGCTTCTGCCACCTGCTGGCCACACCTGGGGGCCATTAGCAGGATGAGGACAAACCCAGGGTTCTCCAAGAAGCCTGTAAGGCTTAGAGGAGAAGGCTTCCCTAGCTTGAGTGATTCCTGCAGGGGGCGGGGGCCCCTGGGCTCTCCACTGGGCGTGGCACAGTGACACAGAGACAGACACGGAGCACACGCTGGGCCTGTGGCCCACCCGCCTGTTGTATGCGGGCTGGAGACGCTTACCTAGGGAGAGTCCATTGGTGACAGCAGAGGAGGAGGTGAGAGTGAGGCCCCTGCGGGGGCTGCGGGACTCTAGGACACTGTCGTCCAGTAGGTGTCTCGCTTTCTCCGATGGGAATGTCGCACTTTTACTCTCAACTACACTCAACTGACACATCATACTGGAAAAGGGAAAGGAAGAAAGAAGGCAAAGCTATCTATGGAGTAAGAGAGGTTACACCTGCTGGGGTCCTGAGCGGATGGTGCAGCTGCAGGGAAAAGGCCTCCACCCAGAGCCATGGTGCTCTACCCTCTCCCGGCATGAACTTGGGCAAGTCACCTCCTTTCTCTGAGCCTCAGTTTCTCCATCCATCAAATGAGGGCTAACGACACGCCCTGCCTGCTTTCCCGAGCATTATGAGGATTACAAGGCTTGAGTAGGCAGACAGCGCCTGTGAGTGATGAGGCCAGCGTGTCTGGTTCTGGAGTCGACACACCTGGTCCAGTGTGCATGCTCCTATGCTTCCTCAACATGGCAAGGGACTTTACCTTGTTGAACCTCATTGACTCATTCTTAAAGTATGAATGACCACAGCGCCTGCCTCAGAGGCCTGCCTGGGGACTCAGAGCATCTAGCACAGAGGTGGTGCTGGGCCTCAGAAAGCAGCCCCTTCTCCAGCCTGTGAGCTCCTCCATGGCCAGCCTGGACTGGAGCAAGGCTCGTGCCTTAGTAGAAGGAAAGATGGGAAGGAGGAAGAATGGGAGGGGGAAGGGATGGATCGTCTGCTCAGAAGCCTGTACTCAAAGCCTTGGGGATATGGGCACGGCTACCCCTAGCCACGCCAAGGACCCAGACATGTCCCCCAGCTGCGGGCCTCACAGGGCTGCGTGAGTCAGCAGGTACACTGCTCTGTGGGCAGGTGCCGTGAGATACCCTAACAGTGCCTTGTATCATGGTCACTGGTGTCCGTTAGACTTGGGCGCTCCATTGCGCATCACCAACTGGGCTCAGGCCAATTCTTAGGAACGCCACTCTTAGGTCCCTGTCCTTCCCTGTGCTCTTCCTCCATGAGTGCCTGAGCCGGTGGTGCCTGTCGACGATATGTAGATGGTGCTGCCCAGGTACCCCTCACTTTGTCCTGAGCTCACACCAGCCTCAGGAAAGCCCACTGGCCAGGGCTCCCAACAGCTCCCACAGCCATTCCCAGAATGGGGAAGGTAAGAGACCCAGTCTGCAAGTGTTCCCCAGCATCGTGCCCACGCCCCTCGCATGGGCCAGTCTGAAGCCTTGTGGGAGGGCTTGCTCGGTCACCCACTTGTTGCCCAGGCTGTGGCTCTTCCTGTGTCTGGGGACAGGAGGTGTGGGGAGACTGCCAGCAACAGATGCATCAGGACAGGTGGGCCTCCGGCCGAACCTCACAAAACTGGAGCTAGCAGATGGGCCTGCGAACAGAGCAGAGAAAGCAATGATTGGAGTTCTGGGGCTGGGGGTGGAGGCTCAGAGGTGGTGCCCAGGTTTGGGGTCAAGTGCCTGGCCTGGCTGTCCAAGGTGGTCCCATAGCTTCCCACTCCTTTTCAACATAGTAATTAACTCCCAAGGCTGAAAACCAACAGTGAGGATGGCCAGTGTCTTGCTGTGCCCAGTGCCCACTGGCTGAGCAGCCCCAGTAGCCCTAGGGAGAGTGCTGGGGGTGAATGTGGGGGTCAGCAGGCTGGCCCTGTTTCCCCACAGTGTGACTTATCCAAGGCCACCCAGCTGCCCAGCTGGTGAGTGACTTCAAAGTGCACTTTCTGGCTCCAAGTCTATGCCCTTACCTTGAGCCTTTGCAACAGCCACTTTCTGGTCTCTGCTCACTCATTCAATAAGGGTCTGAGCAGAGGATGTGCTGAGCAAGAACACAGCTATGCAGACAGGGTCTAGATGCAGGTCTGCCACTTACCAGCTGGAGGCCTTGGCCAGGTTACTTATTCCTTGAGCCTCAGTTTCCTATCTGAAAAGCAGGAATAATCCAACTCATTTTGCAGGTGGCTGGGAGAAGTTAATGAGGTCACTTACTAGACTATCGTAGTGATCAGATTAATTAGTTTATTTATTTCGAGATAGACTCTTGCTCTGCTGCCCCAGCCAGAGTGCAGAGGCATCAGACTACCTCACAGCAACCCTCAATTCCTGGGCTCAAGCGATTTTCCTACCTCAGCCTCCTAAGTAGCTGGGACTAAAGGTGTGCACTATCACCTGGTTCACTTTTTCTATTTTTAGTAGAGATGGGGTCTAAGTTGCCCAGGTTGGTGTCAAAATCCTGACCTCAACCAATCTTCCTGCTTCAGCCTCCCAGAGTGTTAGGACTGCAGGTGTGAGCCATTGCGCCTGGCCTCCTATTTGTTTTATTATGGTGGTTATTATCATGTCCTTCTCAATCCAGTCTTGGGGCTAACAGGAGGTCATCAGAGTCAGGGAGTTAGGGGCCAAAAACCCCACTGGGCAAGATACACAGTGACCAAGGCAAAATCCTCAGCTATATCTGGGGAATGTAGCCCTGAGCACTGTGGTAGTCTTTAGTTTCTGTGGCTTGGGAAGGGAGGTGACCACAGATGGTAGCCTAGGCCTGGCTATCTGGGCCAGACACTAGGGCCTCCACAAAGGGGCTCAGCCACTTCCTAGAGAGCACATCACATGTGAGGCACATCAAGGAGGCCACTACATGGCCACACTAGGGAACTTTCCGGGGGGGCTGTAAAGCCGAGGCCCATCCAGAGCTCCAGATCCACCTCCCAGAGATTCTGCAGACCACAAGTGGCCTAAAAGTCCCAGGTCCTCAGTTTGCTCGGGTCATTCTTATTTATTTATTTTTTATTAAATCATAGCTATATACATTAATGCATTTATGGGGTACAATGTGCTGATTTCATATACAATTTGGAATGCTTACATAACTGGTTAACATAGCATTTAGCTCACTTTCTTAATTATTGTGTTAAGACATTTACACTTATTTTAATGTCCCCAGATAATGACCCATGTCCCCAGCCTGTGCCCTGCGGGAAGCCCAGGCCCCTTCTGGCATTTTGGAGGAGTCAGAAAGCAGGGTGCTGGTATCATCTCTAGTTCTGATTTCCGGCTGCAGGCTGAGCGCTCACTTCCGTGGCTGTCTCGCCTGTGCTGCACTGTGCTCTCTCCAGATGCCACTCTGCACAGGTGCCTGCGCCTTCCCAGGGTCCCCAGGGTCCTCTGCCAGTCACTCCATTAGGCATCGGCCAACTTTCTCACTGTTTCCCTCAACCATATTCCCAAATATCGCCTTTCTTCTCAGACCTCTGCACCCCACACCAGCAACTCCTAGACCCTGCCCTTGCAAATGCCACCACTTTCTACTTTGGCAAGAGAATGGGTTGTCAGGCTTGGTCTCAGCCACCCTTGCAATGGCCTCACACACCTCCAGTCACACCAGCCTTCCCGCCAGGCCTAGGGGTTGGGGGCGCCTCTGTCCAGAGCCCATCTCTCCTCTCGGGCCCTGCCTCCTCAGAATTCACTGCCTTGATTTGCCTTCTCTCACCAGCTCCTTCCCCAGCCTCTGGGATGCTCTGATCCCTCCTGTTCTGTAAGCCGAGGGCCTTCCCCGGCTCTTCTCCAGCCAGTCCTGCTTCCTCAAGTGCAGGTCTGCAACCCCCTTGTGCTCATGAAGCCACTCAAGTCTGACTTCTGTATCTAGTAACTACTGACCTTTCTGGAAAACTAGTGAACACCCATCCACCTCCTTCCCAGAGCCCTTGGCACTCAGTGCTAGAGACCACTCATCAATGCTCTCCTTCCTGGCCAGCTGCAATGCCACACTCTCCTGCTTCTCCCTTCACTCACTGTCACCCTATCTCCTCCTCTGTGAGGTCCTTATCCTTTGACAACCCCTCCCATTGGAGCTGCCTGGACAGGCCTCCCTCTTTGGATCCTGGTTTTGATATGATCCAATGTGCTGAGGACACTAAGTCTTTACTACAGTCCTCCAATCCTCTTTTCCATGCCTGAGGCCCACGTATTGATCTCTCGGCATGACTCCTCCATCTGACCTTTCCTGAGACGCCCTAAGTTTGGCACAGCCACGCTGAACTCAGCAGGTCACTCAGTCACCTGGCCTTGGGTTCTCCCAGACTGTGACTTGCCTTTTCTCGTCTCATGTCCCCTTCTCACTTGCTGTACACAGTCACTGAGGCTTCCGAGTCTTGCACACCTCCTCACTGCCCATCTCTCTTGTCACTGACTGGCCTGGGCCCCCACACTTTATCTTTCCCCCCAACCAGCTTCATGCGTAAAGGTGACCCCATCATCTCCTTGCTTGAAACTGTCCATGATGTGGTGTCTGCAGTCCTGCCCAACCTTCCATTTATGGTGATCTTAGGAAAAAGAGACAAAGCAGCCAAGACAATTCTGAAAAAGAAGAACGCCAGACTTGCCCTGCTGGATGTCAGGACGAAGCATAAAGCAGCAGTAATTTAGCTCAGTACCAGGGCCCAGACAGAGACACAGGTTAGTGAATGAGAGCCCAGGCATTACCGTCAGTGGGAAGGAAGGAGCCTTTCAGTATGACGGGTAAAAACGACTGGGTTCTACATGGGAAAATATAAAATTTTAAAGTCTTACCTTATGTTAAATAAGTGAACTAATGTCATGGATGTGAAAAGCAAAAATGTAAAACTACTGGGGAAAAAAGGAGATAATTTTTATGCCTTTGGGGAAAGGGAGAAAGAAAAAGCACAAACCCCAAAGGAAAAGATAAATATATCTGACTACATTAAAATCAAACATTTCTGTACCAAAACAAATGAATAAAAAAGACAGCAAAATCAATGTTAAAAAGGTAAGTCATATTCTGGCAGAAAGGATCTGTCACCCAAACAAAGAACATATGGAGAACTTCAAATGTCAGTGAGAGAGAGATAAACCACACAGAGAAATTAAGCAAAAGATGTAAAAGAGAAATTCACAGGAGAGAACTCCAAATAGCCCGTAACTGTAAAAAGATGCTTAACCCCTGGGAGCAATGGCAGTGCAGAGTAAAAATGAGATATCTTTTTATTCCAGAAAAAAAATCAGCGTGACAACACTTGGTGTTGGCTCGGATGTGGAGGAATAGAACTCTAGTTTAGGGCTCATACGAGTGTAAAATATTTGGAAAACAATTAACAATGCTGAATAAAGGTGAAAGTGCCATGAATTTTTCACCGGACCTTTCTAGTCTGAGGTATTGTCACACAGTTACACAAGGAAACATATATCCAGAGATCCTCGACGTAGCCCCGTGAGTAACAGCAAAAAAGTAGAGAAACCTACATGGCCTTCAGTAGGGTACAGATAAATGAGCTGTGGTTTATTCATTTACCAAATTCTACAAAGTGAATAAAAAAGTGGGAAACTTGGAAATGAAAAAAAAACAAAACTGGATCTATAGGCATGAATATGAGTAGATCATAAAAACATACAGTGAGTGAAAAGAACAAGTTGTAAAAGATGATTTACAACATGGTACCGTTTAGGTCAAATTAAAAAAAAAACACGTAATAGTACATGTTTATGCATAGTACCTATGCAGGAAAACACAGAAAGCTTCACAATACCAACACAGGCTGGGACGATAGGATCTGTAGGGAGGAAGGGGGAGGGGGCACAAGGGGCGAGCAAGATCTTCGCTCGCTCTATAATACCGTCACTTAGAAATGTGGAGCACACAGGGCAGAATGTTAAATAGCTGATACACATGGACAGTGGGGACAAAGGGCATTCTCTGTGTATTTAATATTTCATTATTTAAAAAGAGAGTACTTTGAAAAGAATGGACACCTCTTCTGCAGCAGGTGCAGTGCTGGAATCTTCCACCTGCCCCTCTGAGCTGTCCTCCAGCCCGGTGGACTGTGCTGTGGGACTGGAGCATGGCCTCCCCCCGCTCTCGCCCTGTGAGGTCCCCCCACAGAGATGGCAGTCTGCTCGGATGCTGCTTGACTCTGGGTTTTGGTAACTGCTGTCTCCCTGAACTCCTGCAGGCCTGGGGCAGTGATAGTGCCCCACTGTTTCTAACTCTGGGGTCCTGCACCGTCCCCTGGGGTTCTGAAACTCTCCTCTAATATCCTGAAACTCTCCTCTAATCACCCACTTGAGTGTGCCCTCTGTTTCCTGCCTTGACCCTGTGAGGCTTCACATTTAACCGTATGATCGCATATGAAGTCTGTTATTGGCCTTACTGCACAAATGCAGTATCAGAAGCTCTGTGGGCCACGCATCAGGGACATGGAGCTCACTGGCCATAGGATCAGGTTCAAGTCTAGGCCATGGACACCTGGGACCACCTGTCCAGTCCCTTTTTGGGAAGCACCTTTTCCTCCTGGTGATGGGCTCACAGGGGAGCTAACACCAGTCCCATGTGGCTTTGCCTCTGGCCTCAATTGATTGGTCTATG